AAAAACTACACCTAATTTATTTTTAAGATACAATATTGTGAAGCAGTCAGTCAAGTTTACATTATTGAATAAACTGATTTCCACTTTAATAAAAAAAGTAGCAAACACGATTAATATAATCATTTTTAAGAAACCACAGCATGTGACATGACAGGGTTGCTTTGCTCCTTTGGCCAGAGAAGTAATATAAGTATTTCTTTACCTTTTGAACACATGCTTGTTTTGAAATAAAGGAAGACGAACTTGAAAGGACTGTTGAGCCCATAATAAGTGGAAGAAGTCATGAACCCGCGGGTTTGGGGTGAAGAGCGAGTCAGAAACAACACGTGTTTACTTGGATACTCGTCAAGACAGTCATTCTGACATAATTTAGTGTGCATTTGCTCATGAAGATGTGAAAGAGAACTCAATTTGGTACTCGCATGCAGTCCGAGCTGTGGCTTTTTGCGTGCATTTGTGCACACATAAATTATCTAAAACAGCGTGCGAGTACTGCATTGAAATCTCTTTCGCGCGTCTTGCACTTAAATGGCTTAAAACACTTTCATGTTTAAACTGATTAGATATAGCATCCTGTTAACAGCAGGTGTATTCGCAGGTGAACATGAAATATGTTACATACCACTACTGCTGAACGAGCCAGTGTAATGCAAATATGTCTGAAAGGTCTGACATAACAATAAGATGCAACATGAACGATATTGTATGAAGTGTTGTTTGTTTACATCATGCTGTGCCTCGCATTATGAAAACAATGTTTGGGATACCACGATCAAAACTTAGTGATGTAGACAGTTTGATGTTAAATATATTCCTCCAAATTATGGTGAAAACCAAAAACATTTGTGTGTTAAAATAACATTTGTGTGTTCAACAAATTAAAGAAATGCTTATATTACTTCACTGGTCAACATAGCAAACCAACCCCGTTATGTCACACGCTGTGGTACTGCAAGATGGCGGCACCCTTGCTCCAAAATCTATAACAAAACATCCTTTTTTCTTTAAAATGGTTACATTAATCATGTTTGTTATATATTTTTTAATTGAAGTGCAAATCAGTAATAAAAAGCTAAATTTGTATTCAAACTGTTGCCTTTAAAGGGATGGTCCACCCAAAAATGAAAACTCTGCCATCATTTACTCACCCTCATGTCGTTCCAAACCTGTATGCATTTCTGACTCCTGCAGAACACAAAAGAAGACATTTTGAAGAATGTTGGTAACCAAACCTGTTCCCATTGATTTCCATTTTTGTGCATACTATGGAATTCAGTGGGAACCAACATTTTGGTTACCAACATCTTCATCTTCTACCAATATCTTTTTACATTCCATAAAAAAGAAAGTTATACATGTTTGGAACATGAGGAGGGGGTTTAAATCATGACAGGCTTGTCATTTTTGGGTGGACTTTCCCTTTAAAAGCAGTCGCTGAAAAACATAATAGGAAAGGAAAAGATTTCCAATCCAGATTTTAAGAATTGGGTTTTGCTAAATCTCTGGCCTAGGGGGTTTACCAGCAAACAGGTCTATCGTTGGGGCTGGGGAAGCAGTGGGGGCTACAGTGCTGGTGGTGGTGGAGACAGATGCCTGGACAGTAGTGGGTGCCACTGAGCTAAAGAGAGAGTTACTGTCATCTACTGGCTGCATGGAGAACAGGTCCAACTGAAGGGAGTGATCAGCTGTACCAGCCGCTGGAGTGAAGGGATCTACAGGGAGGAGAGGATGAACATTTAAAAACATCTTCCAGGCTCTGAAAGACTGAATTTATTATATAAAATTACCCTGAGGATGTAACTTCAGAGAAGGAAGAATGAGAAAGAAAGTGGAAGTTGGAGACGGTTTTGTTAGATACACGAGTGTTGCGCTCGACATCTGCTTGTGCTCCGTGGAGAACAGAACTCCAGTGTCAAAGACTATCGCCCTAGCAACATAGATAGCAATCTCCATGGCAACACCGATGCCAATACAGCCAATACAAACTCAATATTGACCAGAGGAGGCTTCATTAGGAGTGGAGTCAGCAGAAGAGGCTCTGTGAGGTTCTTCAAACCGGTAAATGAAACACTCACAAGCAAACACACACTCTCTCACCCGTTATGTGCCGACATTCTCATATTCACACATATGCATGTGAACTGTTGTCACCCACCGGTTGGCGCAGTGCTGTCAGCAGCAGGGGTGGGAGTGGTTGCTGCGGCCCCACCCTCAGCAGCAGCAGCTGTTTCAGCCGCAGGGGCCGCAAACACATCTGGAGTAGTGCACACGAGGGCCAAATGGTTGACATATAATAGCCAAAAAAAAGGAGGAAGAGGAAATAGAGAGTAGATAGTAAAGAGAAGGAGAAATAAACAACAGATTCAGTGACATGCAGAGTTCGAATTAAAGGAGGTTTTGCATTTAAAATATTTTAAACTATAGCTGCATCCCAATTCAGGGGCTGCATCCTTCAAAGGCTGCATTCCAAGACTGAACGCATCATAACACTGTGACAAAGGCTGTCCCATTTCACAGTCTCCTTAAAATGTGGCCTTGAAATGCAGCCTTCCGTTTCCTGGGACATGAAGGATACAACAAATGGATCCTTCGCAGCTCAGACTATCCCAAGATTCATTGTGTGCTGGGATGACAGGATTATTTATAGAGAACTACACTTCAGTGTTGAGTTTCAACTTACTCGATTATCTAATGTCACAAATGTTAAAAACACTGGTTGAAATGTTGACCTTACTAAGATGTGATTTTATAGGTAGTTTATACTTTTAATTATGTACGTAAATGGATCAAGGTGAACATATTTAGACAGGTGGATGCAGCCCCTGAATTGGAACACAGCTTATGTCTTGCACACTTTTAATTAATAAGTTGAGTAAATACAAATTGTGTCCGTCTTCATTTCATGCTGCAAAGCAACAAAATGTGATTTTTTTAAGGGGGGGGGGGTTATTTTCTATACCCACTCTATATATATATATATACACATATATGAAAATTATCCATTTTACTTTCATAATGTGACATATTTCAAGGATATTCAACCATAAGAAAGCAGAATAAGACTTGATCTTACCAGTTTAAATTTGCATTAAATAATTATTAAATTGGTAAGATTCTAGAAATCTGCATTACCCACAATAGTAGCCTAAAATATTCACAAAATATCCGTTTATTAACTTTTAACTGATAGCCCATGCTGATGGAAACCAAAAATGAGAGTCGTTTCAGAGGTGCTTTTTTCTTTTTATCTGGAACTTGCTCTAGGAACATGTATTAGAAAATAAAATGGGTTAGTTTTGATATCAATTTCATTTTAAACCTATTTGCAGTTGCTGAATTTACGTATAATAGATCAAGTATAATTGATTTGTATTATTCATTTTGTTTATCATTTTTTTCTTTCCCCTTTCTACTTTATATATTTTATGTATTTTGAGTATGTATGTGTTGTCCGTACATGTGAAGCACCATGACAGTCTGAATTAATTGCCCCATGGGGATTAATAAAGCACTAAACTGAAACTGAACTATAAATTAAAACCTGATTAACCTTACTGTGCGTTCTGCAAATTAACACATTAGAATAATCAAATGATTATAATTAATTTATGTAATTTTAATAAACAGTCATCTTGTGATGCATTGATGGCAAATGAATGTCAAAAGAAAACTGCAAAAGTGTAGCATGGAAAATATAACATTTGAAAGGAAATAAGAAGCTCTAGATTTCTACTGCAAACACAAATGGTGGAGCAAAGGTGACTACAGACTTTACGAATGAAGCACAAACTGTGATTTCTATCTAATCTTTTATTTTCTTTCTCTGTTTCAGAATGTGGCACAGCCTTTTCCCCCAGAAAACTCTTCTTGAAGGAAGAAACCTCACTACTGACCTCCGAGGAGATCCGCTGAGCCGGAGGAAGCACCGGCAGCGGAAGGAGGAGGAGCCAAAGAAACAGCTGCCTCAGCGGCTGTGGTGGTGGGCGTGGCTGAGGAGTTGGAGTCTACGGCAGGGGTTGGGTCAGGAAGGAGAGTCTCTGTAGTAAGGGAGCCTATTTCTGCATAGCCACGCCCCCAACAGACCAATATAAACACAACGTAAACAGATAACCAGGAAAGGAACCAAAGAAGATGGTAAGAGCGAAAGAGAGAGAGAGAGAGAGAAAGAAAGAGAGGGAGAGATTCTACTGAGCAAAGACTGATGGATTGACACAGAGATGTTAAATGAGCTTTAGGAGACTAGCTTTGTAATACTTAGGACTGTCATACTCTAATTTCTGTTTGCTAGATGAACTACAACAAATGCTTAAAGGGGTCACATGATGCGATTTCAAGTTTTCCTTTCTCTTTGGAGTAAGTGAATGAGACATTTAACACATCAAATTGCATGAAAACACTTATTTAACATAAAATCAAAGGCCAATAACGTTTACCTGAGCCCAGCAGATCTGATGTGATAGCAGCCCATGACAGCCAGACAGAAAAAGATATTTCAAATTAGGTCAAGCATTCATTAAGAGTAGGAATGTAAGGAGGAATGCAATACAGATACTTAAAGTTCTTCTACCCAGGTCAGTTTTTCACAATATTTTTGGTTTGTGGCAAGTTTGGTTTTGTAGTGAATCAATATGAAGTTAAAAGTGCACGTTGTATTGCAAATTTATCATAATTTTTAATCAAATGTCATGCAAACTCTTCTTTGTAGCTGATGTAATTGAGACTACTTTCATGATTTAATCAGTCAATTTGATGGATAAATCAAGTTTTTATTAATATTTTAAATGAATTTTTATTTTACTTTTTAATTCATTTTAATTCAAAATTTTGTGCGTTTTTGCCATTTTATTAGTGCTTGTTTGTTAAAATATTTTTAATATATTTTTATTTCAGTTTTGGTTTTATTTCATTTTAGTTTTCAGTTAGTAATTTTAATATTTCAAGGCAATATTATTAATTTCCATTCAGTTTAAGTTTTATGTTGAATATTTATATTTAATTTCTGCTTTATTTCAGTTAACAAAAATGTTTTTTTTTTTTTAATAGTTCTATCTTTAGTTAACAATAACATCACTGGTTTGAGCTGCAAAGTGTGTATGTGTGTGGATTGTACCTCCCCAAGATGTGGGAGCAGCTGATGCTCCTCCTGTAGAAGGTCCAGAGGAAGACAATGGGTCCAGATCCAGCAGAGAACTACATTGTGACAGACAAACACTTTTATAAACATACGAAAGCTGTACGGTTAGATATTATCTGTTGTTCTGATTAGCATTTTATCAGACAGGAAGTGAAGTGTAGTTACTCGGCTCACTCACTCAGTGGCAGTTTCGGCGACAGGCACGGCCTCAGTGCGTGGGGGCTCCAAAGTGGGGACGGCAGCGGCTGATTTGGCAGGAGTAGAGGTTGGAGACACATTATTGGTAGGTGATTCCTGAAACATAACACAGAGCAACAGATTGAGCATATGTGTGTAATATCTAAAAATAATAAAATAAAAACATAAATGTGCTTGCTTACCTTTGTGGGTGACCTGAAGGACACAAGCAGAGACAATGAGATAGAAGTGAACAAATTATTTTATATACAAACAATGTGACTGATGAAAATGTCTGAGATTACTTAAAACATACTCACCCTTCCCTGAACAAACCATTGCAGGAGGAGGAAAAGAACATAAATTAGGATTAATATTTATAGGCTTTATGTGTCTTATTCAAAGGGATTTACAGTATAATAACTGCAGAGACAAGCCATGGTTATTTGCCTTTCTCAGGTTGCTCTATCACATCTAGCATGCAACATTTGATTTACAAGAACAGAGGTACTTCCCCTCTGACATTTGAAGTGATTTAGATTGATTTCAGGGATCCTGTACCCTTTCTTGCCCTCTAGACTGTTCATATGTGCCTCCAGAGATTCCAGAATACTGCTGGGAGCCTGAAAACAGCAGAATAAAACACACACACATACAAATATGAGAAAAGGAAAGCGGTGTGAAGACAGTAGAAAAATCATCAGAGCATATTTAATTTCAGTATCTCCACAACAAATTCAAACAATTAAAGACCACATCAAAACCCAGTGAAAATCTTTACACAAAGCACTCCTCACAGCACCGCAAAATCAGCTCAAAGCACAAACTGTGGGACAGAACTGGACTTCAGTGCATTGCTTTTCTCAGCTTCTAAACAAAAAGCTAATTATGATGCAACCTATCAGTCTTAGAGAGAAATTCAAGTCAAAAAAGTCACTTGCATAGCGTCACTTTATACAATAAAGATTGTTCAAAGCACCTTCACATTATTAAACAAGAAAATAGCAGTGTTAATGTTGCAAAATTCTTTTATTTCAGCTGTAAAGCAGCTCTAAAAAGACAATCGTGTCATCAATCAGCTCAATTTCGTTCAGTATTGATTCTGTTCAGTAATAGTGTAGTAAATGTTGCAGAAGTCATGAAATAACTTCAGTTTCAGCTATAAACCCTTCAGCTCTATAGTAAACAATAGTGTCATTTTTTCAACTTAATTCTGTTCAGTGTTGATTCAATTAAGTTCAGTAACAGTGTGAATGTTGCAAACTTCATCATTTATGAAACAACTTCAAAAGCAGCTCTACAGAAGACAATATTGTCATTATGCAGCTTAATTCAGTTCAAATTTTTGTATCCTCATCCACTAGTGTCAGTACAGTCAGATTCATAATATGTTCTGAACATTAATTGTTATTTAATGACACTTTTTAGGAAAGGAAATTAGTTCTTCTTATTGCTGTAAAACATCCAGTAACAGCATGTTAAAAACTAGTGTTTTGTGACTAGCCCAGTCAGGAAGGGCTTCTATACAAGCAGGTAAAAGCAATGCACTGAGATGCATTCTGTGTCCCGTATCAGTCGTCATGGTTACCGGCTCTTCGTTGCAGCAGTCTTTAAAGGGACAGTCTTCCTTGTCTGAATCTGCCAGGTCTGCAACTACGCGGGGGTGCAAACACTGGGAATCCCCACGGGGAGGTGTTTTGATAATGACTCTCAGTTAGGATGGATGAAAAGCTCTTTGACACTCACACCAGCTTTACTTAATTACTTTAAAAGATTGGTATACTTCCCATGCTATAAAGTTTTAAAAGCCATTGACATCAAGAAATCAATACTTGACCTGATTCTAATATTAAATAAGAGCTAGTGACACACCAACAAATGGCACATATGAAAGGACAGATGTTTATTTTCAAGATGTGCCGTGGCTGACTTACATAAGAGATGTCGGGAATGTCATTCTTATCCACTCCTACTTGCTGCAACAGAAACACAGTAATAATGTAGTGAATTGATATTCTATCCAAATATTTTACTTGAAAAAAATTCTGCTTCTGGTCTTACCTCAGCGATTTTCATGAACTCTGCGATTTTGGTCACCCGGGTCAGAAATTTCTTATAAATTTCCAGAGAATCCTTGCACTCAGACTTCTTCATTTTGAAGTATTTCTCTGTATAATTAAAAGCAGAACCATTCGTTTCAAGATAAAAGATTATTGAATGATATAATGATGTTCAGAGATTGAGATCATAAAATTATTATCACATACCTAATAAATTGATGATGCCGTCATTGTAAGAGGCGAAGAGCTTTATCAGATCCTTAAAGAGAAGCAGGAACGCTGCATTTATGATGCCATTGTTCAAGTCTTTAGGATGAACCTTTGAAGGACAGAGAACAAGACAAAAGGGAGTATTTAAAACAGTAATGTGGATAATAAAATAGAGTTTGACCTTCTGTTCCTGGCCAAATAATAATAAAGTACATTGAAATAAATACAATCAAGTCAACAAACCGGTGAAAGAACAAAATCATCAAGCTCATTCTCAGTTAATGGGCCATTTTCACAGAAGGTTCCAGATGTTGTGGGAGATACTACTCACGTCAAACTCCAGCAGTGTGTCCACTTGAGTCTGAAGGGCAGGCATGGCCTTCAAAAGCTTGTCAGGAGCCATAGTCCTCATCACACCATCAGCTCTGAGTGCACACACACACACACACACACACACACACAAAGACACGCACACACAAAGACACGCACACGCACACACAAAGACACGCACACGCACATACACACACTATATAAGACTGAGTGCTAAAAGTTTTTGAATCCTGAGAAACCATCCTTGCATTCTCTCTAACTTAAGAGATGACGTTCTCTTTGTGTTTTGTAAGTGTAACAGCTCTGACATAATATTTAATAACTTGGAGTAACAAGTGTCTAAATGTTGCCAATGTGTCCTTCTATTCCCAGAATCCATCGACATACCCCTTCTTAACTCGAATGAAGTCGAAGGCCATCGCACGGTAAGCATATGCCTTCTCATTCAAGTACCGTGCATATCGTCTGATGAATGTAGACATGTCATAGCCTTCGAGACAGAAAAGGAAAAACAGGAATAAACATTTTTAGTTGACCTTAGTAAAACAGAGATCAAATTTAAAGCCATTTACTGTATCGACTGCTTAAAAAATATTAATTATTAAAGGAATAGTTCACCCAAAAATTTAAATTTGCTGAATTTTTTTTACTCACCCTCAGGCCATCCAAGATGTTGATGAGTTTGTTTCTTCATTGTAACAGATTTGGAGAAATTTAGCAATACATCACTTGCTCATCAATGGATCCTCTGCAGTGAATGGGTGTCATCAGAATGAGAGTCCACACCACTTTTCCCTTCACAAGATGTTAACTGATGGATTTCTTGTGGATTATTGTAATGTTTTTATCAGCTGTTTGGACTCTCATTCTGACGGCCCCCATTCACTGCAGAGGATCCATTGATGAGCAAGTGATGTAATGCTACATTTCTCCAAACCTTTTCCCATGAAGAAACAAACTCATCGACATCTTGGATGGCCTGAGGGTGAGTAAATACATTTTCAGCAAATTTTCATTTTTGGGTGAACTATTTTAAATCAAATTGAATTGAAGTTTATGTGTCTTTATCCATTTAACTCACACACAGATATACAGAAACTCACCATGGGAGCCTGTCTTGTCAATAAAGTTGCTGAGATTGAACAGGGAAGTCCTTGAGGCCAAATACTGGATGAATCTCTGCAGGGATTTAAAAAGGGACACAGTATTTTAGTATTCAGTATCTGTGAGTTTTAAACTTCACAGTTTGACTAAAAGGAGAAGATTAAACAGTAATGAAGTGCCTCACCTCATTGCCGTAGATGCATATGTGGTGGGTCGTGGTTAGAGCTTTGAACACGACCACCCAGCTGGCATTAGTGGATCTTTCAAATAGTGTGTCAGCCATCTGAGGGATGTTCACGTTTGTCTCATTGGTGGTTGAGATCAGATCTGCACACAAAAAAACACACACTTACCACTACAGCGTTATGTACTACAATGTGAATGAAGATTTTCAGAGCTTTATGATTACTGAACCACCAGACAGATTCTCAAGGGGAAAATTAATATCCACAATTGCATTAAGGAAGCCAGAAACAGCCTCACAGAGATAAACAACAATATGACTGTGCATTTTTCTTGCACTTTACAACATACTGCATGCAGTGGAGTGCATGAGGAAAAAAATGACAGAAATGTTCTAGTCAGAGAGATTGAGGTCATTCAATATTTGCTTTTTGAACAAAATCAAAGGAAATCAAATATGTGTCATGAAAATCTGGTTTGCCAGATTCAGTAGAAATCTAACGTTTAGAAACATACTGTATATGGAGTGTGAAGGTAATCTAAATTAAGTCCTTTCAAATCAACTACACACAAAATAAAACTGTAAAATTAACTTCTTTCCGACACGATATCAGTTTCCGGTCAAATGGGACCAAAGTAACAGAACCGAAAAATGGGTAAACACATGAAAACATGTTCAAGCTACATTTTACTCTAAATATATATATATATATATATATAT